TAAGGTACGGAGTTTATGGCTCGTCTTCATGAACAATTACAATATTTTGTGCAAATGAAAATTACTACAGATAGTTGTTGGCAAGGATTACGGATATATCTTTCTGGCCACAATGTTAGTCATGCTTGAAATATTTTTTATAGCAGGAATCTGTTCGTTCATATGAGCCTGATTTTGCTTTCTGTGAGAAGGAATGAAATTTGGCCAGCAAAAGAATCGTATGAAAAACAAAGAAATGGACTGCAAGCTAAATTGAACATTACGATCTGAATGGGAAGCAACTGTTTTAATTTCAGACTAATCTAGTTTTATTGTTTGGCATGCCTCGGATATTGATAATTTGTTATTGGATTGACTGAATTGGTACATTCATGTTATCATTTATGAAGTCCATAGTTTACAGTGTCCTGGGGAAGGTGAACATAAAATAATGGATTTTATACGTAGTGAAAGAAGTCGTTCTGACTACGACGCTAACACAAGACATTGTCTTTATGGCCTTGATGCAGATTTGGCAAGTTTCTTTCATGTTTGTAATAACATAATGGAGAATTTTTTGAAAGTAATTGTAATATTTTTAATCATATATTTAGATAATGCTGGGAATATGTTCACATGAGCCTCATTTTGCTCTATTGCGGGAAGAAGTGAAATTTGGACGACAGAAAAGTCGTATTGGGAAGCATAAGTCAGCTTTGTAGCTTCATAAATTCGTTAGCTTGAAAAATTCCAGTTAGTGTGTAACTGTCAGCCAACATTTTATTTCGTATGAAAGTTCCTAATTCTGATACTGCATATGCGAAAATTTTTAATTCTCATGTTTAGAATTTTTTGGTTAATGTTTGATGTTTGGTATGTTCTGAATGTTAGGCTATATAAAATTTTTTTCATTTTATTTATTAGAAATTCAAACTGTGTTGGCTGGAAATTCCAAAATAAGACAAAATGGGGGAATCATACCAGTAAATTCTGATTGAAATTTCAGAACGAGAGTGGATGAAATAACATTTCATTTATTGCATATTTCTTTACTCCGAGAATATCTTTCATTGGAATTTCACTCACTAAAGGTGATTTCTTCATTTGTGGCATTTTCTGCTTTTACAAAATTTTTCAAAAAATATCGTGCATTTTTAAAATTCAGTGAAACCTGATTTTAAATTTTAGGATAAACTGTTATTTGATTACGATTTGGAGTCGGTGATTGATGATTGGGTTCTTATGAGCTTTCTTGTTGGTAACGATTTTATACCTCATCTTCCTCATGTTCATATACATGAAGATTCTTTACCACTTCTTTATGCTGCCTATAATGAAGTATTACCTCAGCTGGACGGTAAGTATAGCTTCGTCCTATTAATTTATTATAGATGGCAAATTTGATAATTAAAAAAGCTTATTAACTCCTAATAAACGATTATGAAACCTTTTATACTGAATGTTTGATCGGTTTTGATATTATTATATTAACACTGCTTACAGGTTATATCAATGAAGCGGGTGTTTTAAATTTAAAGCGTTTTGAAATTTTCTTAAAAAACTTTGCAAAAAATGATAGAAAGAATTTCATCGAACAAATGGATGATGAAGCATATCTCAGTTCGAAAAGAACATCAAATGCTTGGCGAAATAGTGCTTTTATTTCTCGTAACAACCAGCAAAATTCCGTTAGTTTCGTGCTATTTTTTATGATGTTTAAATATTTCAATCGAATTTGGGATTAAGATCAGTATCTTTCGATTTTTCACTTCTTAATATTGTTACTATGAAACTGAAGCAGAGAATTTGATAAATTATCTGTTTGCATTTTGTACATTTTTTTAGTCTTTGATTCAACACTCGAATATTTCAGGATGAAAATTTGCAGCTGTTCGATCCTTCAAACGTTGAAGAAGCTGAAATTACTAAAAAAGATTCTCATAAAGGAGCATTCGATTCGGACAGTAATGCTTCTGACGAATGTGAAAAAATTATTGATCCAAGGATTTTAACTGCTACTGAAGCAGTGTCTCGTAAGTTCTCGAGCATATATGAACAAAAGCTTTATTGGTTAATTACTTTTAGTTAATTGTCTTGTTGCTAAGTTTTTAAAATAATTTTATTTAGATGGGTATTTTGGTCTGGACAAAGATTCGGATAACGACCTGCCATCCTCCTTATTAAATGACGAAAGCTGTGAAAATGATTGTGATGTAAGTTTAAACTTACAAACATTTGATCGTTACGACATATGCATGCTGTTTACAATATTTTTTTTATGGAATATCAATAAATTTCACTAATCGTTTTTATTTTCAGTTGTGTTGGACTCCTGTGGTCAACCGGGCTTTCAAGAATCACAAGCGTAATTATTATAACGATAAAATGAACTATAACAACATAAGTAAAGAAGAACTGCGTGAACAGGCGGAAGGATACATTCGTGCAATTCAGTGGAATTTGCATTACTACTATCATGGATGTTGTAGTTGGAGCTGGTACATGATTTTTCGAAACACGACATTTCTTAATTGAACTGAAATTTAATTCAGTTCCAGTTCTCTCTTATTCTTATTCTTTTTTGTTTCCAGGTTTTATCCGCACCATTATGCTCCTTACATTTCGGACATTTCTGATTTTGCTGATATGGAAATGAATTTTGAGCTGAATGAACCATTTAAGCCATTTGAGCAGTTATTGGCTGTGTTACCTGCAGCTAGTGCCAATTGTTTGCCACTGCCTTATCGAGTAATAAATTTAGAATTGTCTTTCCAGGATTTTCTGAAAAACATCATTTCTAATGATTATATTGATAAATGATCAAGACATATCTATTAGAGTTAAGTAAATATTAAAAAAATTTATAATATCTGATATTAGATATCAGTTATTGTTGTTATCATTCATGCTTGTATGTATGTCGGAAGGTGTAGTCTTAGTCTCTTTACGGTCTTGCAGTGAGAGCGTATTTTTAATTGCACATTAAGGAGCTTATGAGTGATCCAAAAAGTCCAATTATTGACTTTTATCCGGAGCAATTCGAAACCGATTTGAATGGCAAGAAGAATGATTGGGAAGCGGTTGTTCTGATACCACTCATTAGGGAAGATCGCCTTTTGCAAGCCATGGCTATCAAGGAGCCTTTGTTAACCGATGAGGTCATTTTCTTTTTTTTATTAAGTATTTTTTAGTTAACACTTCTGAACCTATATAATAATAAACATTTAAAGGAGCGACAGAGGAACATACACAGTTCTCATCTGCTATTTAGTTATGACCCCTCATCATCGCATGTTTTGAAATCGACATTTCCCGACACTTTTCCAGATATTCAAGAATGTACTGCAAAGTAAGTGTTGCTTAGTGGTTTATTAACGGTGAATATTTATGGTAAATCCTTACTAGGTTTAAAATTTTTCGGGTCTACATTTGAAGTTTTTCCAGTTTTTTTAAATAAACGGTTATCATTTCAGAGTAGAAGAAATAGGAATGAATCAATTTCGTATACCACACAATCAAATAGTTCATGGCCTGTTACCTAAAGTTAAGCTGGATGTTGTATTTCCTGGCTTTCCTACGATGAAACACATACCTCATACTGCTGCGCTTCATTTTGCGGACATTAGAGTCTTCCAACAACCATCTAAAAAGCAGTCGATGATTCTTAAAATTTCAAACAGACCGGAACTCGAAAAGGTCCTTTTTATAAACTCTGATATGGATTTTAAAGTAACAAAAAACATAGTTTATCTTTTTTTTTGCTGTATGGAAGCTCTTCAAACATATAATTTAGAAGTTTAAAACAAGTTGAAGGAATACTTTACTCTTTGCTGAATAGTTTAAGTGTGGATGAAAACTAACAAACAAACCTGAAAGTGATCACAAAATTATGTGAAAAAGATGATTCAGAATAGCATGTTTGGCAGTTGACCTCATCGTAACAACATTTGCTAATTGTTGACCAAACGATGTTTGTGTTGGATGCCTGTAAATATTTGCACTAATATTAGATATAATTGGAATCTATAAAGCATTAACTATATTGTATAGTATTTTACAGGACATGATGGATATAGCATTTGATTTAATTGGAGAAGAAGTACATGTGAATTGGCCCATACTTCAAAAGGCTTTGGTTCAGGAGCTATGGACTGCCGATAAAAAGTTTATCTTTTCGAATTCATACCACTCATTAGTTTATCAATAGTTGTTAAACGAAATGATATGTTGTCTGGTTTGGCGAAATTTTTGTGCGATCCATAAAATCATCTAGAGAGGTGTATTGTATTTTAATAGTCTCGGTCATTTCCAGATACAGCAAAAATGCTAACCGAGAAACTATTTGCGATAATCTTTCGGAAGAGGAACAAAATATGTATAGTAGTTACGTCAGTATAACTCGAAGAAAGTTAGCTTTTAAAATATGTCCTATTAATCCTCCACGTTTTTGTGGCTATTTCGATAAAATTCAAGTTTTTAAACTTATCAAAAGTGAAATTTTGAAATCTAATTTCCACATTTATTCACATTTATTTTCGCTTTCTTTATAGCGAGTTCGAAAGGAGAGGTATTGATGCTGGTGAACAGAAATGTTTGGCTTTAGTTCGAATAGCTCGAGGATTGCGGAAGTGTTTCGAAGAGCAAAAAATGGTAATCAAGCGATTTTATGGTGATACCGATAGTGCAATTCCTGTGTCACTTTCCCTTGTGGTACAGGTCAGTTGTTTAATATTATTTTTATTTTATTCTGTAATAATTTTAACTACTCAGCATGAACTGAAAAATGTGATAGAATTAGACATTCCTGAACGGGCAGCATTTATCGTAATTTGTGATAAGTAACTAGTAAAATTTGCAATAGATGACCTCCTGACTGCTCAATTCTTCAGAATGTGCTGGAAGATTGGGATTCGATTTGTGCCTTTGAAGATGTGTATCCAATTAATGCCCAAGTTTTCATTTCTTCCGCTGAAAGTAAATACTATGGTTTTTGTTCATTTATCAAGGAAAATCATCTGGCAACAAAAGGTAAAGTATTTTTACTTCTACAAATGATTAATCATTGCTGAGTTAAACTGTGAAGGATTGTTTGCTTTTGATATTTTCTTTTCTGTTTGTTACAGGGACACTTACTGTTTCGTGTAAAATTCCATCAACAGCGGATATGAGCTTCTATGATATTATGGCAAATTATGATAATTATGCTTTAAAATGGTACAGCGCACATGAAGTAGCAAGATTTTTGCGTAGTAAGTTTAAGATTTATTCTGGAAAAATGAAGTTCAGATTGTTTTTTATCACTGCTGTATGATGCTTGTTCGATTCCTTTTGTTTCAGTCAAAAAAAAGTTTTGTAGCTACGGTTGACGTTGTTAGTCGTATCACTGGTTGTGTCTACGTTTTATTGGATGAATCCGATTCGGTTTCATCAAAAATTACTCCGTCGGCTAAAGTCAACATTGGTCTTGAATTGAAATTCACAAAAAGAAAGCAAATTGTTTGTTTTTTTCTTCATAGTTTAAATTTCTACGTTTAAAAATTCAGATTTATTTGCTATTTGCAGTTATTGGATTTCAATCTGGAACAAGAATTCTTTTTTAGAATGATTTTGTGTATGATAATTTTACAAAAAATTAAAATGAATGAATCCATATTCAGGTGCCAGATTTTACACGTCGTTCGTCGGAGGGACATTTTTTGTATTCGTCAAGAGCGTTCGATATGATTCGAAATTACAAAATAAAGTATGAAAAAGATTGTAAAAATAAAATTTAAATTTAAAACAAAGTTACTCTGATTAGTGTTAATGTATTTTGGCTTTCAAATCGCCTATGTCATTGAGTCGTCATAAGAATTGTAGTTGATTTTGTTCTAATGCTGTTTTTGTGTTTATAATCAATATCTGCAGGTATCCCGGACTATTCGCATATCTTGAAAAACTAGATAACTTTCAAGGACATATTCTTATCCAACAGATATTTCCGGAATGTAAGAAAGAAAAATTAAATACAAAACTTGAAGGTAAATTTATCATAATTTATTTATACTTCTATGATAGAGTTATTTTCATTTTTCATACAATCTATGTTATGGCTTGTGAACATAAAATATAGCAGTGTCACTATGTTGTTTTCTTCTATTTTATTAATTTATTGCAAAATTCTAAGGTTACACTAGTACATGTTGTTTGATTTATTTTATTGCACTGTTTTCTTGTAACATATGTGCTGCTTTGAAGTTTAGCATATTTTTTATGTTACTTAGAACGAAAAACTAGTGAAATAAATTTCAGAATTGAAAGAATTTTTACATACTATTGCACCAAAGGAAGCTCTAGAATCAGCTGACGATATTTTTGTGGACTCCAGCATTTTGAAGGAACTCGAAAAAAGGACACAGATCGTTATGTCTAAAAACGCATCAAAACAAATATGCAAACGACTTGCGGTAAAGCCTCGTGCCATTTTTATGGTACGTTGCTTTAAATAGGATGAATGAAATTGACGTTTTGTAAATCAGAAGAGTACAAGATGAAATTTTTATATAAAAATACGTATTTTTCAATATATGAAAAAAATAAAAGTGGTTTAGGCGGAACTATGCAAAGGAAACATTATGCCAGATCCAAAAGCTGAATTTCGCTTACTAGATCGAGTCATTTGTGTCAAAAAACTCCATGCAGCACCATATGGCGAATATGGTACTGTTATTGGATTGCTTACTACAGGATCGGGGAAGAAGATCGATGTGTTGTTTGATAAACCGTATTTTGGCGGTCAGATTATGCGGTTTGTTTTTCTTTAACTTTTTTTAGTGATATTGGATTTATTACGTAGTACGCTGGAATTGCATGGTAAATAGATGAGAATAAAATATTCATGTAGTTTTAATAACTACATATAGGTGGTGCCTTTTATTGTTCGATGTGCGATGTACCAATCGATTATTTAATAAATTGGTAAATTAAAAAGTGTATTTGATGATTTGAATCTGTTAATTTTCGACATGTTAATGAATGATGATGTCGAAGCTGTAACAGCGTCATCATACACACGCGTCGGTACTTATTCGTCATCCATTATCGTAAACGTTTTTTTCAGCTTTGTACTATGAGGAGATAAATCCAAGTAATATTACTTTTTAGAAGTAGCAAAGCAAGCGGAGCTCGACTACCGATGTCTTCGTTGATTAACATAACACATGGGAAACGATTGCGAAAAGAAATTCCAATGGTAAGCGTAATTTTAAATCCAGTTAAGCTAATCATGAACCAACGAATTTCTCATGTGACATCTATCCCAGTAAGGAATATTCATATGGTGGATTTCATCAACAAATTCCATCTGGAGTTTCTAGAATTGTCTCTAAAAATAAAATTTTTCCAGTTCAGTATGCGAACTGTAATTTTTAGATTTTCTGCCTTCGTATATCAAACATAAACATATATGATTCTCCAAAGTACTGGTAGTTAATACTTTGGAGTACATGTATGATGATATTTTTTCAAATTTGAATTCCTTTTGGTATTGAAATTTTTGGTAGATTGATAACTAGATTTTGTTTTTGTTGCGTTTTTATCTATCTATGCATCTGTTATTAACAATTTCATTATTACATTCGAGAGTCAGATTTGATTTTACATTAATATGTCTTCATATTAAAAGTTAGCTCAGCAATATAGATTTTAAATGTTTAAGATCAAAAATTGTATCTAAAAAGATGGAACAGGTCTCTTGTATGCTTTTATTGCTTTTCTCTAATCAGCAAATTTCTGCAAAATATCACTTATTCTTAAAAATATTCTTGTTCTCAAAAAATATATTCTTCTTTATTAACGATCAGCTCTTTTGAAGGGTTGATCGATTAAGAAAGGGTTTGAGTATATGAAAATATATTGAAATCGAATTTGTAGTAACTGTTATAGGAAATATCTGCTTCGAAAAATGAAGGGAAACCAAAGAACTCCCAAACATTATATTCGTGGTACGGTGGTGATTCTATATTTGAGACTGAACAACAATCTTCAACTGCTCTTATCTATGGTGCTGAGGCAACAGAAGAAAAGAGTACGGGAGTGCTGAGTGGGAAATGGAAGCCAAAAGCTAGGCCTCCACGTACATTTATGAATAATTTATTGCTTTCTGAACCTCAGGTAGTTTTCTGATCATTTTTCATATAGTAATGTCTATATATCTGTTTGCTATGATTGGTACGGATTCTATTATGACTTTGCTTTTTGACCTAAGCGCAAGATTTCTTTTGAATGCTTCTTAATTTTAAATGAAATCATGCCAAGTAATTAAATCAGGATATAAGTAAGCATTTGGACAGAATAACAAAAATTCTGCAATATTTTAGGATTCAGAAGGAAAAGGAAAAATATTTGGAAGTAAACCAAGTATGAATGTGGTTCGGCGCTCGGAGAAAAAAAGAGATGGGACAAACTTTAAAAAAATGGAAGATAATAATAAAGTGAGGAAAAGTGGTGATATTACCAAAGTTTCCTCAAGCAGTGGTTTTAACCAACATTGGAAATATGGTTTGTCAGAAGAAGTTTTTGGGTTGGAATCTAGAGGACAAAGCTCAGCTCTTAATAATTCTACATCCAACAAATCATTTCGAAATCAGGATAAGGCCTGGAATTCACTGGAGCAGTCGGAATTAAATGCTAGTAGAAATACAGGTTACGGACAGGCTGGATTGAATGCCAGTAATGTTATTTTTAAACAGTGTGATTTTGATAAAATTGGCAATAGGCTTACTGGAGATGTGGCAGTTCGTGGTGGTGATGGGAAAACAAAAAGTCCGAAACTGCATCATGGATATACGCGAACATGGTTTGGGTGTCAGCCTGCGAAATCCAAGGATTATCTTTCATACTCTCATGAAGAGCAGTCTAGTTCTAAATTCACTGGAATTCAGGAGCGAATGTTATCGGAGAAAAAAACTGACATAACTGCATCTCCTGCACCAATCATTTTGCTTAGGAAAAACAATTCGCAGGATTTGGAGAATGTGATATTGTCAGCTACTACCGAAAAAACGATGAAGTCCGGAGATAAAAAACAAAAAACGACGACATTCCAGCAGAGTTGTACTATTGATGAGTTAATGAAACAGTTTAGTAAACAACGATTAAATACCTCAGAAGAATCAGGTAATATGAGTGGACCGTCGGCAGCATGTTCGTCACCTAAATCGGTAATTCTGTTAATTATTCGAGTGTTTTGGATATTACAATATTGTGTTCATGTAGTAATAGCGGAATTACAGTTAGGCTATAATAATGTTGAAATTTTAGAAAGCTTTTTTAAATGTAATCTTCAATGAATAGAATTCAATTCGAAGTTTATTGCAGATCTCAAAAAGGAAAATTCTATCACGAAGATCTGAACAGATGGATTGTGTACAAAAACATGATGCTCCTAATATTTCTTCTATTATTTCAAGATCAGCTACGCGAGATGATGCGAAGGAAACAGATAGACCTGAAAGTTGTGCAGAAAATTCGTGTGATAAAAATTCTATTGTAAATATGCCGAGTTTTATAGCGTCTTCAGATGTTTCTAGAGTGAATAGAAGGCCTCGAAAATCTCGTGTAGTTGCAAATTTGGGATATAAAAGTGGACAGTTACGAGGAGAATAGCTTCTAAATTTGTGATCACTAAGAAATGAAAGAAAAGGAAGGAAAATACGTCACAATCGGTAAACGTTTACATGCAAATTATATCATGCTTCGATTTAAAAGCGTCGTACTGTATTAATTTTCACCAGTGATAAGAATAATGATTCCAAATGTCAATCAAATGCTTTTTATAATTGTAGCCAGTTTCATGCAGTCTTAGTAGATAGCTTACACTAATGATTATTGTTAGGTGGATGATGAAAATATTTGTAATTGCATGTAGGTAGCCGTTCTCTTGTGATTTAACAGTACTCTTTCTATTACTTTGTATTCGCATATGCATGGTAAAATTGCATCGAATGCATGCGCAATAAGCAACTGCTTGCTGTTGAAAACATAGCAGTTGTTTTGGATTACCGATTTATCAGTAAGAGTACTATTTTTACTATTTAAATTTCACGCGCAGCTGCACAAATATTTGAAATGCAACGCTGCACTTAGAATATAATACCCATAAGGAGATTTATTTTTCATTTTGTAGTTTATTTGCGTCGTATGTGTTTCATGCTAAGAGATGAAATCATGCTATGTCCTTCCTCAATCAATAAATCTCGCGATGGGATCTAATTCCCAGTTATCGAATGAATCCCTTATTTGCTATACTAGTACGAGAATTATTGGTTCTCTAATTAACACACAGATTATAACAAAATCATCGATCGTCTAACTAATGTGTAGGGTGAACAGAGGACAGACCGGTTATTACTATTTGCTCAAGAAGATATGTCTTAAATTGTGAAACTCACAAATCACTCTTTCATCCAACCTGTCAAAATTTTCAATTAAACATTTCAGATTGCAATCGAAATGTTAGAAATAATACCAATCAAATTTACCATTATTACAATTATCAATCATCTTTTTCGTATGTGAAGCTTTATAAATTGCTGTAAAATTTTGAAGAATAAAGGTACACGAATATATATTTATTTAAACCATACATAAGATGAACACAAAATGTTACACCAGAAGGCGAACAATAATAAAGAAAAAAAAAAAAAAAAAACAATTCGCAAAATATTGATTTTTTTTAGGTCACTAGGGCATTATCATACTGAAAAGTTGGAATTTGAGAAAAAAAACTGTGAAGACCGAAATCCATGCATTCGATCATATCATTTTTATCATATGTTTTATCGTATCGAGAATATTAGCTAACATGAAAAAATTCTCGTATCGCTTCTTTCAATTATTCCATTTTTACGTCTATCATTTTTAATTAATGACATATCCATATATATATATATACAATAGAATAAATGAATACAAAGAGAAATTATAATATGGTAGGAAAAAAAGAGAAGTTCGCGAATTCTCGAAAAAGCATAAGAGAAAAAAGAAAAAGAAACCACAAATTGATGAATGTTACATGGAAATTAAATATACGAGCTACATAAACTAAATGTTTTCCGTATCTTAAATAATTCTATTTGTT